CCCTACTGAGGGCAGAACTGAACTCAGAACTCAGATTACAGCATCTCTTTGGTAGGTTTGCGTCAGCATGAGAAACAGCAGCCAACACGCTATAAACCATTTGTCACCTCAGTGAAGAGGGGGCCTCTCATTGGAACCTGGGTGGACAAAGCTAATACAGTGCAGAGTCTTGAACCAAATGTTGAGTTTAGACTTTTCATTTCTGCTCCACACGGGCGAGCTGGGTGACCTTGGGCAAGTCCCCAAGGGACACTCTGTCTACTCAAGCCCAAAATGTGCTTGGTGAATGCTGACTTTTCTACTTTATAGACTAACTGTGCCCTTCGATAAGATTACGGGTCTAAAAGTCCTTTGTGAACTGTAGCCAGCGGAGGGCAAAATCTAGAGCTGCTCGACGGGAGAACTGCGAGTGGGAGGGCACTGCAGTGAAATTTCGTGTTTGGCCTTGTCCTGGTCAGCGGCCACTCTGCCCAGGGGACCGGGGACCAGATGACAATGAGGTCTTTGTGCCCTTCAGCCAATGGGAGGGCCCCCCTGGGGAAAGATACAGTAACAAGACAACAGCCTGAGTCAGTCTCCACGGCCCGGCCTTCTCAGCTTGGCAGCCTTGACTTTGCGCCAGACATACAAAGGGCGCATTTCAGAGTTTTGATATATAATCTTCAGCCCAAAGGGATCAGTCAGTCCGGTTCCTGCCTCCGCAGGCTAGGGGCGGCCAGAGCCGGAGTTGGGAGACCAGGGCTCCAGGCCGAGCTGTCCGCACTGTGACCTTGGGCTCTGAGAGCCTCGATTTTCCCAGCTGTTCAAAGAAGGTGTAGAATTGGGTAGGGTCTAAGGGCCCTACCAGCTCTCAGCTTTGAGAGAATAGAAATTCAGCCAGAGTTTGAAGGATGTGTGGGGTTGGGGCAGATGGGGAAGGAGGTGGCTTGGTGGAGAGGGCGGGGAAGGGGTCTGGAGTTGAGCTGCTTGTGTGGATTCCTGGCTTCACCATTACGGGATTTTGAGCAAGTTATTTAGTTCTCTGAACCTCTGGATTCTTATCTTTAAAATGGGAATGGGAATTGTAGTGACAAAAAAACAAACAAAAAAAACAAGGCCCCCCAAAGATGTTCATGTCCTAATCCCTATAAATTATAAACATGCTACCTTCCATGGCAAAGGGGACTTTGCAGATTAAGTTAAGGATTTTGAGATGGGATAATCCAGGTGGGCCCAGTGTAATCACAAGAGCATAAGAGGAAGGCGAGAGGGGGAAGTGAATAAGGGAATGTGGTGGCGGTGGCAGAGGCCGGGTGCCCTGCTTAGATGGAGGGTGAGGCTGTGAGCCAAGGAACACAGGCGGCCTCTAGGAGCTGAAAAAGGCAAGGAAACAGGTCATTCCCTCAGACCTCCAGAAGCAACACAGCCCTGCCAACACCTTCATTCTAGGTCTTCTGACCTCCGGAACTAAAGTAATAAATGTATATTTTAAGTCACCGAGTTTGTCGTAATTTATTGTAGCAATAATGGGAAACTAATACACTACTCAAGTGTGTACATTAAGCAAAGATTACTTGAGATAATGGATATAATGTGTTTCGCCCAGTGTCTGCTCAGTAATATTGGATATTATCTCTCTTCCCAGCTTAGTCATCATTGTTTCAACAGGCCATCAAGTCCTCACATGCAAAATTTGTTTTTTTACCTGCAAGGCCCACTCAGGATTTATGGCCTGGAGAGCTGAACCACCAAGTTCCTGACAGTTTCTAATGGATGGCCTTAGGGGATGGTTCCTGGCACTGCTTTAATTTATTTAAGTTTCTGCTTCGTTGCTTTCCTTTTTGCCAGAAGCCAAATCAACAGCCTCCCTGGTCTCTTTCCAGAGTTCAGACCTCTTGCTCCCTGTCATATATGGGAACACTGGTTGTCCACCTGGCCCCAGTCCAGCTCCCAGAGATGGTTCAGGTGACAGACTCGAGTTACTGAGCAGAAAGACAAGCAGGTTCCTGGTGGGACTGGGAATCTGCCTCTTAGCCAGGGGTAAGGAGACTTGGTTTTGAGCCCCAGCTCTACGGGGTGATCGGGGCCTCAGTTTCCCCATATCTTCAATACAGGTTCTAAGCCCCACCCTGACTCCTTTGCAGGACTGCTCTGTCACAGATGACGAAGTACTTTGGAATGGCCAAAAGGGTGTAAAAATGGTAGGAATAGAGGAAGGAAGAGAATAGGAGTAGTTGTGTCCCCTCCTAGGTCCAAGTCATCCATGCTTCAGAGGCTCCTGTTCCCCTCGGATGCTCTAACCCCTAGATATAAAACCTTCCAAGTTTTCCTCAGGGTGTCCCCACAGGGGCCTGGGAGTGGTCCCTAGACAGATCCCTGTCCCAGAGTTTTAGCTTCTCCCCAATCAGCTTTCCAATTCCTGAACCGAAGGCAACATGGGAACTCCAGCCAAACACTAGCAATAGTTCCATCGCTTATTTTCATCAGAATCATTATCTTGGTTTATGAAGAAAACACAAAGTTTAAGTTAATTTTAGTCTCCTTGATGCCTGGGAGCTATAGCAACCGATCCTATAAAAATATACATCTGTCCAGACCACAAAACAGGCCTCCGAGGAGTCTGCCAGCACCCTGCATGGAAAAACCAAGGCAAAGCATCAGCCCTGGCTTTTGGGCCAGGGAGAGGCCTTGGTGGTCATGCAGAGTACAGCCTTTCTTGGATTCCTTTCTTAGTCCCTTTGAGAAGCTGGAAAAAGCCAGGGACCTTCTCTGTAGAAAAACCACAGATGCCCAAACTTTTACATCCAACTTTTGTAGGTTTGAGGATCTCCTGAAGACCAGGGTTCAGCATATTCCAGGCTTGGAGCCCTATCAGAAAACAGTGTCCTCATTGATTAGAGCCAACTTTGTGTTGGCCACTGGAGCACTGCAGTGAACAAGACACGTGAAGCCCCTGCTCTCATGGAGCTCCTGCCTAATGAGGAAGCCAAATATTTCTGATCATGACAAATTCAAGGAAGCAAATTAAACAGCATAAGATGATGCACTATGCAGGTGAGACAGGGAAGGGGACCAATTGAAGTTGGGTGGTAGGAAGGCCCTCTCTTAGGAGATGACACTGGGACAGAGACCTGAAGGATAAATGAACTGGAGGCACAGGAAAATCAGATGGAAGAATGTCCCCGCCAGAGGTAAGAGCAAGTGCAAAGATCCTGGGGTGGGAATAACGTTGAGGTTGTTGAGGAACTAAAAGGAAACTAGTGTGACTGGAGCAGAGCGATCAGGGAGCAAGAGGAGGAGAGGATGGCGGGAGGCTGAGGCCACGTGCTGGAGAAGTTTATGAGAATGTTCTCTGCCTTCTCCCTTTCCATGTCATTCAAACCCAATCCATGCTTCCAGATTCACCTCTTTCAGGAAGCCTTCTCTGCCTGCCCCAACCTGGCATCCCTTCCACTCTGAGCCCCTGGGATAATCCCCAGAGTCTGCCCCACTCGTGTATCCATAAGGCATGTCATTTCGTCAAGATCTAAAGTTTCTTGAAGGCAAGAACCAGATATTGATTCCTGTCCCTCCCAGGGTGTAAAGCACATAATGAACATTCAACCAAGACTTCCTGCACTGAGAAGTTCATGCAGCACCAGCCTGAATCAGGCTGAAGGTAGAATCACCCTGCCAGGTGGTCTTGGGCAAGTGACTTATTCTCTTAGGGCCTCTATTTCCTTATTAGGAAAATGGGCACAGTAACAGCACCTAAGTCAAGGGTTGCTGTGAAGACTGTAAGTCCTCAGTAAACCTTGGCTACTGTTACTTCTATGATTGTTGTCAATATCATCAACCGCCTTATCTGTTCCATACGGACGACATAGGTCCCCCAGCTAGAAGGCTAATCTCTTATGTGTCTATTAGTGGTGTAACTAGAGGGGCTATTTTTAGACCATATACCAAATTGTCAGTGAGGATGCCACCAGTGGCAGCTTCTCTTGACTGTACAGAGGCAAGCCCTCTGCCTGTACAGACACAGCTCCTTTAAACTGCTTTGTCTTTCTCAGCATTGCCTAATAGCGGGCTCTTGTAAAAATCACTGTCAAGAGTCAAGACACTTGGCCCTGGTTCTGCCCCAGGGGGCTGTTGGGCAATCCCTTGTCCCCTCCAGGCCTCAGTTCCCCTTTGAACAAGGGGAGGCTGTCCTGGGTGACTCCTGCAGGCCCTTCCAGCCCTGGCACTCCGGGAGTCTGTTTAGGCAGCAGCCCCAGAACCCAAGAGGCAGGCCGGGTCCAGGAGTCT